AAGAAACTTGCTGTTCAGGATTCTGCTCCATTTCTATCATCTACAGGAACTGGATGAATGATCAGCCAATTGTATCATTAGTTCCTTTGGAGTTCTTTCTGTGGGATTTTTAAAATGAACTTATGCATTGATTGTGTTTGGTTGCATGCTATTCTGCTCCATTGTTGATGTGCATATTGATTTCTTTTCTGGTTTTTCTGTAAGCGAGAAACGACAATAGAGGAGAGAACGATGATGGAACACAAAAGGAGGCCCCTTTCTATGATCAAAGCGGTCTCACTACTTTTTCACCAAAACGACACAAGGCTGATTTGTCCATCTCCTCCAAGGTTTCCTATCATATTCTACATTTGTGCAATTTTCTCCTTGCATTATTGTTTTCCTTTTAGCTGTATTGTTCTTGTTTTCTTTTATGTAATTGAATACCAAAATTACATTTTGGAAGGAGAATGGTTTCTAATAGTACATTTCAAACTAAAAATAAACTCACTGAGGACAAAACAAAAAAAATTTAAATACTGCCTTATATTCTGCCGGATTCTACTAAGTTGTGGAAGCCGGGTAATTTGGGAGGTCTACCCATTTGATTGGCACATCCATTCTTTTATCATATGATGCTTGCTTTTCCATCTTTAAAATGTTCTTTTGGATGATAGGAGAGGAAAGAGAAGCGTAGCGAAAGAATTGGGCTCTGCAACAGCTTGTTTCACCAAATGGGAAGGTATGACAACTTACTCTTTCTAAGCAAAGCGTGCGAAATGTTTATTGCACTAGGCTGGAATCTACTTGAAACCTACACATTGCTTATATTCAAAGTGGAGCTAACAGAATCTATGCATCCACAGAAGAGAAAGAAAAATGATTTTGTCAATGATGATGCGGTTTATGTTATGACTTTTTCATAAAAGTTTTTTATGATTGAAATGGGTTTCTATAAAATGATTGAAGAAACATGTAGGGTGTGTTTGGTTTGTGTTTGTAGAGTAGTTTTTGAGATAAAAAGTACAAAAACTTATTTGGTTTGCCTTTTTTCAGAAATGGTTTTGAAAAATTGTTTTGGGGAGAGAGTTCTAAAAAAAGTGATTGATTTGATATGTATGAGAGAGAGAGAGTGATTTTGGAAAGTAGGTAACCAAACAAAATTTTGAGATGTTTTTTAGAAAATTTGTTTGGTTTGATTACTCTTGCAAATTTGTTTGTAGAGAATTTTTCCCAAAAATTTTTCTGAAAAACAAACCAAACAAGGCTGTAATTTCTTGTTTTTCTTTTTTTGGGTTGTGAAAGCCTGAAATTTCATTACCAATGATTGAAATGGTTCTCTCTCGGTTCGAGTTGAAATGGTAACATAGCATTCTATCTAGGGTTTCGAGCATGGTGTTGCAGTCTCGGATCGGGTACACTGGTAAGGCATTGTGGATCGTTGGTACCACAAATTCCCTAATAATCGAGATGAAGAGCAAGGTCAGTTTTTCAGTTGATTTTATTCTATACATGTCCGTTCATTTTCGATCCTGATTTTGTTTTGATTTTGATGTTGTTTTCTATTTGTTGATATTGTTCCTTTTCTCTTTGTTTTCAATTTCTAAGTAGCTAATTTCGAATTAGATTTAGATTTCTTTCAACTTCGTTTTCAATTCTCTTGTTTTGTTTTCAGCAATAACTTCCATTCATTTCAATGGAATCTTCGTCTTCGAATATAACCCTATCTCCATCTGTTTGATTCATAGGAATCATGGTTTTTGTTTTGCTACAGTTTTGGCCCTTGAGGCTACAAGTTGCCAGTTATGTAGTGGAGGTGTTTGTGGCAAGGTCTCTGAAAGGATTTTGGGGTATCCTTTTGTTCTGTTTGTGCTTGTTGAATACCTGAAGAGACAGTTTTCAGCTATTCTTCACTATCTGATTTCCTTGATGGGTTTCTCAATGGAAGTCTTCTTCCATATCAATGATCTGAATCTATATAGATGGATAAACTTGTGCACGAAGCTAAATTGTACAGAATTAGTTGGCACTGGTTACATTTTTTAAAGGATTATATATTTTTGGGTAGATGTGTATAGAAAATATTTGGATAGTACTAGTTATATTTTTTAAATGCATATGGATAAAAATTTAAAAGCTAAATTGTACAGGACTAGTTGGCACTGGTTACATTTTTTAAAGGATTATATATTTATGGATAGATGTGTATAGAAAATATTTGGGTAGTACTAGTTACATTTTTTAAATGCATATGGACAAAAATTTAAAACATAATACCTAATTGTTATGTTATAAATTTTTATACTAGATGGATGTGAATTGGATGATTATATAGATTTCATGACCTTTTTAATTGGACGATTATGTAGTTTGAAATTACTTGTGGATGAAAACTTATAATAGTTGATGACTTTAATTAAACAGGTTAATGTTGGCTGATTTATGTATTTTGTTGGATGTTCATGATTCAATTAATTTTGTTGGTTTGAATGATTCTTGCAAATTATAGGTTATATTAAATGATTTGGATGGATTATCATATATTATACAGGTCAAAAGGAATTGTTTTTATATTCTATTTCTATTTTGAAAAACAAAAAGAATTGAGTTGGCGACCAAAATTTGATTTGTTTTTCTTCTTTTGGCGACTAAGTGATTAGTTGGTGTTTCACCTTCACATTTGGCGACCAAAATGTTGGTAAGCGAAAGGATACATTTTGGCAACTAAATAATTAGTCAATAAAATTATTAATTTTGGCAACCAAAGTGTTTGGTCACAAATAGGTCTATTGCTGACTAAAGTTTTCATTGCGTAAACATTACTTTTGGTGACATTTTTGGTTGGGAAATATGACAATTGGCAACTAACATATTTAGTCGAGAAAATATCACTTTTGGCGACTAAAAAAAATTTTAGTTGCTAATTACTTTTCTCGACCCTCATTTGGTGACCAAAGTGGCAATCAAAAAAATTTGTTGCAAAAAACTTTTGCCGACTAAAAACGGACTTTTACCGACTAAATTTTTAGTCTGTAAAAATGTAATTTCTTGTAGTAGCCAAATTGCATTGAAATATTTCTAACAATGTTACCAAAAAATGCTAGTACTTCAGAGATTTAGGTTTTGAAATGTATGTTCTAGAACATGGTATATTTTCTTTTCGAAGCGGTGATAATAAAAAAATTTTCCAATATATTTCCTAAACAGTTTCCTTGGAAGGAAAAAAAAATCAAATATAGTGAGCTAAAATCCAAGGAGAGGAAAGTTTTGCCAGGAAAAACCATGAATCCAAAGTGATAATAAAAAAATTTTCCAATATATTTCCTAAACAGTTTCCTTGGAAGGAAAAAAAAATCAAATATAGTGAGCTAAATCCAAGGAGAGGAAAGTTTTGCCAGGAAAAACCATGAATAGTTGGTTGTAATGCTCATATAAATGTTTTATAACATGATTAATTTGAAGAAGAAAAAAAAACAAGAATTCAATATAGAAACACCTTGAATTCTAATAAAGTATTTTATATGTCTCCATATCGTGCCACATTTTAGAGAGCATGTGGCATACACTGTTCCCGTTCCACGCCACATATCAAAACAACCCACATTCTAGGTGACTTTGATTTCTAATTATGAGTATAGTACATGAATTTAATACAAAGAATTGGGTGTATACTATCATATTGTTGGTTACAACAATATCTTAAATTGTAATTTTGAGTGCATACAACTTGTGGACACAGAATAAACAATGAGTTCTGAGACCATGATGATTTTTTTGGATTATTTCGTCTAGTCATGATCCTTAAATTCTATGTTAACCATCATACACAAATAAATTTTACATTGAGCATTAGACCAAAGTGACCAAATGCAATTGCTTTCTTAAACAATTAGAATCCTCGGCCCCAAAACAAAAATAGCATGAAAAATCACTATGTTTGGTTTGAGTTTTCTAGATTAAATTTTTTGAAAATTGACTTTTTTGGTTTTTGTGTTTTTTTGTTTTTAGTGAATATTTTTTAAATTTTAAACATTTTTTTTACTTTTTTAGATGCACCTTACTTAGATGTATCTAAAAAGTAAAAAATTTGTGAAAAAATATTTTAAAAAATTAATAAATACATAAAAATACAACAAATATACTGAATTCTTGTATTTTTTTTTGTATTTTTGGTATTTAGTGAATTTTTAAAAGATTTTTTTTTACTTTTTAGGTGTATTTATGTTAGGTGTGTCTAAAAAGTAAAAAAATTGCTTCAAATATTAAAAAAATTCAGTAAAAACAAAAAAACACGAAAAATAAGAAAGTAGAATTTTCTGAAAAGTGTTGAAAAATTGGAAACCAAGCAAGGTGTAGCACTACAAAAATTTCAGATTTTTTCCATCGCTAATACTCTTAATGCCATCTCAAAAAACTTTTAGTGACGGCAAATGACTTTTAACGACGGCAAAGGGGGGGTCACAACAGAGGGCGTTGCAAAAACATGCCGTTGCCTTTTTTTTTTGCGACGGCAATTGTTGCCTTTTGTGACAACATTTTACTATCGCCTATAATATGTAAAAAATTGAGACCTTTTGAGACAACACTGTTTTACTGTTGCTAAAAGTTTTATTTGAGGCGGCAAAAAATACTACCGCAAATTGTTTTTTGTTGCAACGACATGACCACTGTCACTAATGGTTCTAATGTTTTTTGCGACAATGTGGTGCCGTCGCAAAAAAAAAAAAAAGCAATAAAATTATTAAAAATATTAAAATTACCTATATTAAATGAAAAACAATTGAAAAAAAAAAACCAATAATTGCATAATAATATAAAAATTTCTGTATAGAAATAACAATTTCTTCATAATAAAAATATTCTTGCATTCATAACTACACATCAACAAAATTACCCCACTACAAAATGTTCCATAATACATATATAATGTTTAAATACATAATGCTGTTCATAATTTAAAATAACAAAAACCAAAATTAAAAGTTTTCCTCATTATTCTCCGTAGGTAACAAAAATAAAAGTTAGTCGCATTCTTCACAGGCATGCATTCCACAAGAAGCAAACTCCTACTCGGGAAATATCTGAAAACAAAAAATAAAAATAACTAACAACAATATAATTATGTGTTAATATCTTAATTACAAAAAAACATAAAAATTTAACTACTATACAATTACATATACAATTACAAAGATAATTAAGTAAATAATTTTGTCTAGATCGAAATCTGGCACTAACTCCCAAATCGAGAACCCGATTCGAGTCTCGTTTTTTCCCATAAGTCTCTCGTGCCTAGGTGGTCGTGTGTGCCAAGTTTCGTGCTAATCCGACGCCGTTGAAACTTAAAATTCGAGGTGTTGATGCCCCCAAAATCACTAAACCGAAATTCGGGGGCATCAACACCTCGAATTTTAAGTTTCTTAAGGAACTAGTTTGCCTAAATCGAAATTCGGCTCTCACTCCCAAACCGGGAACCTGATTCGAGTCTTGTCTTCTCCTACAAATCTCTCGTGCCAAGGCGGTCATGTGTGCCAAGTTTCGTGCTAATCCGACGCCGTTTAGTGATTTTGGAGCGTCAACATCTCGAATTCTAAGTTTCTTAAGGAACTAATTTACCTAGAGTGAAATTCGGCTCTAACTCCCAAACCAGAAACCCGATTCGAGTCCCGTCTTCTCCCACAAGTCTCTCGTGCCTAAGCAGTCATGTGTGCCAAGTTTCGTGCTAATCCGAAACCATTTGGTGATTTTGGGGCGTCAACACCTCGAATTCTAAGTTTCTTAAAGAATTAGTTTACCTAGACCGAAATCTGGCGCTAACTCCCAAACCAAGAACCCGATTCGAGTCTTATCTTCTCCCACAAGTCTCTCGTGCCTAGGCAATCGTGTGTGCCAAGTTTCGTGCTAATCCAACGCCGTTTGGTGATTTGGGAGCGTTAACACCTCGAATTCTAAGTTTCTTAATAAACTAGTTTGTCTAGAGTAAAATCCGGCTCTAACTCCCAAATTAAGAACCCGATTCAAGTCCCATCTTCTCCCACAAGTCGCTCGTTCCTAGGCGGTTGTGTGTGCCAAGTTTCGTGCTAATCTGACGCCGTTTGGTATTTTGGGGCGTCAACGCCTCGAATTTTAAGTTTCTTAAAGAACTATTTTGCCTAGAGTGAAATCTGGCTCTAACTCTCAAACCGAGAATCAATGCTCCATATACCCTTATCAGCTACCTCATAAAGCTATCAGTATGCAGATTAGATTGCAATTACCAGATAGCAGACACTGACACTTAGAGATCAATTCGGTATGTCAAATAATATCACAGTACACTATTCTTACTTGTTGGGTATCAACTTGATCTGACTTGTTCAAAACCACGCATATCTTGTCATCATGACCTCGTAGAGATGAAATCACGCGTTTGAATTCATCACTGATGTCAAGTTGATGTGGATCAAACAGTAGTAGAATGAGGTCGAACTTTGCAGCAAACCAAGATGCCACACCGGTAAAATCGTAGCTTCTCTGTGTTTGTTGCTTTTCTCCTGCTAAAACTCCAGGAGTATCAACAAATGTTATGTGCTCCAGCAGCTTCAGACATTCAAAATAAAAAGTGTTTTAGATCATATAATTATACGGAGATAATTGAATTTTTTTTAATTAAAGTTACAGTATATACAACAACTAACCGGATGTGGCATTTGGGGACACTCAAATTTTGACAGAAATGAAGTTCCAAATGTTGTCAGACTGCTAAATGGCAAATCTGCTTGAACAGCAATAGTGTTCCCTGGAATACTTCTTTCATCAGGTCCATTCTGTACAGGAGCATAATTAACTAGTAAAACTATTGAACAAAAAAATACAATCATGGAAGGAGGGAAAGAATTATATGGCTCTTACCAAATCAATATGTATGACAAGTCCAGGAGAAAGAGCTGATTAAAAGCATACTTAACAATTATGTTACATGGACTCAGGTGGGGCATTGGCAGTAGATACGTATCTGTGTGGTTTCATCTAAAAGATTAGGTATTTATCTTCAACTTGTTGATTAAGGTTGATGCCCTTATTTATTTGGGGGCTTTGATAGGATGTACCAACACAAAATATTATAAAGGCTTCATTAGATCAAAGGGTTGATATCAAATCTTTAACAAATCTGGCACAATTGAAACAGGCGCAATCCTTTCTGCACCTTGTGCTTCGGCTACACTTCATTAAAGTTCATTTGCCTTAGGGATGTTGAACCCTTAGGGACACCTAGGCACATGCCTCAGCATGATTTTGATAACTCTACCTTACTCAAGTGTCAACACAAGTACTTAACAAATTTAGAAGCATCCATGTAACATAACTCAAAACGTTGCAGATATGCTTACACCACAGGCTTTGATCTAGCCTCTTACAAAGTATTTGAAGCAATTTATCTTCATCTATTGTTAAACTTTCACTACAAGATCTCTGTTTCTCTTTCAGCAATTAAAACGTCACTATATCATAGCTTTTATTTTAGTTGAGATGTCAAGATATATATATATTTTTTGAAAAAACGAAAGGCAAAAGAAAATGTTTTTATAAATACCATAACAACAAATCTATCGGTTGTTGGCTCAGGTTCAATGTGAGCTCCTGTTGAAAATGAAGAGACAAATAAAATTAATTTTTCCACTTGCCAGAGACAGAGAGACAGAGAATATCATGCCTGGATAACTACTTTTCAGTAAATGTTTAATGAATGTTGTTTTCCCCGTGGAGTATTGACCCAGCAGCATAACCACAGGTTTTGCATCAAAATCACTGTTTGTCAGCCAAAAACAACACACCAAAAGCAAGTACTAAACAATGTATACATATTTATATGGAAACAGCCATAAAACTGTTTTTAAGTTTGTGAAAATACAAAGAAAGAGAACCTGAATCACGAGCATTCTAGCATTTCATTCAGGTGCAGGTAATTATGGCCATATGCGTTTATCACTCACCAATAAAGGGGACTCAAAATCGTTGAACTGATATGTAACTTCCAATGGCTTCAATTTCTGTATGTACAACTTCTTCAAGCCATCAACAATTGATGTAACAGAGGATATAGGCACCTGATAAGATAATGAATGAGAGAAAGAAAGCACCATTCTCAAAACTAAGGCATAAGAGAGGAAGTCAAATTAAACAATTATATATAACATTTAGGATCCCATAATAACCAAGGTAAGAATGAAAAGGTGACAAAAATTCTCGGATGTATAACTAAATCCAGTCACTTATTAACTAAATTTGCAACATGTACCTTCTTCGCAGATTTTGTAGAAGTAAACCAATTAGCTGATGAAGATTGCGGCAAACTACCTGCATCATTGTTGATTAGTGCACTTAAAAGAAAAATGGCATTTCTATAGGTAAAGAGAAAAAAAATTTTACCATTCAGTTCAGGATCACTTGTTTTAGATGCACACTTTTTCTTCGTCTGAATATTATCAATTAGCAAGTTAGGACTTCTATAAAATAATTTAGAAAACAATTTAACAAAAACATTAGTATACTTGCAGCTAGTATTGCATCCAAACCTTCCATGACAGGAGGCTTTAGGTTTTCCAACTCAACTGCAAGAGGTTACACTATTTTACCCAAACTATGATCATCATTTATACACAGTTCAGGTTGTCAACATGAACTTGCAGTCAAACCACCCCAAGCATCCAACAGGCTACGACAATAACTGCACAACGTACACTACTCACCTTCGCCATTTAAGATATCATTAGTTGGTGCATGTCCACCTCGTGCCAAAGAAACTAGCTGCAATTTACAAGTAAAAAGTTGTCAATTTGCAAAAGATAAGTTGACTTTACATCCATTAAAGATTTGGAAAATTATAAAAAAAAAAAAATGACAAAAATGAATTTGAACCTGCATTGCAGCAATGAACCCTGTGAAACCAAGAAAAGCTTGTCGTTTGGAATCTGCAATTGCTCACACCTTGAAAAATTAAAATAAAATAAAAAATTTAAAAAAAAGAAAAGAAGATGAAGGTTTGTCATTATGAAGTAGACATCAAATAAAAAATAAACGAAAGCAAAATTGGGAAACACTTAAAAACAGCAGGCACCAAACTCTAATTACAAATGCAACTGAAACACAAAGACAAGCATGAAAGTTGATTAGAAAACTAACATGGCATTGAAGAATATGCCCAGCATAAAAATCCATACAAGTGTATGTGCGTGCATGTCTGGAAACATATATGCATACATGAATATTGACTTGTGTCCTGTTCCTTACTCAGTGATTTATTTCTTTCAGGAAAATAAAGATGTAGATGGCACAGGACACTCCCATTTTAACAACTCACCCCCACTCCCCTCAGAGGAAGGAAAAAAAAGGGGTGTGTAAGAATAAAAAAGGTCATACCCCTGTGGCTTTATTTGGAATAAGTTGTCCCGGTTAAACCATATAATTTAAAATAATAAAAAACTAGCCGCATTTGGTTCATAGCATTGAAAAGCTCTAGCTCTAGCAGGACCAAAGTTTAGCAAATTCAACATCAATTGAGGAGAGCAAATTTGTTCACACTAAGTAAACAATACACACTTTCCTATTGGTTTCTCAATGAGGTGGTCCCACCTCCAACACCAACACCAACCAATGAGTATAAAATGTAATGTTCAAATTTAGTGTGTGAACAAATTTAGTGTGTGAACAAATTTACACTCTCAATTGAGTGGACACAAAATCTGTAGACATGAAAAGGGGAATAAAGTAGGTTGCTTAGCGCAATGGTAAAAGCTCGAGGTGCCAATGATGAGAACACAAGTAATGAACCAACGCGACTCTTTAGATTAAGTCTGTCTGACCACCTCTCAACATCTTTCATTGAGGGGATCAACACAGCCTTTTAGGAAAACGGTAAGGGAGACGGGTGCATAGGTCTACCACATTAACTTGTGCAAAACTATTAGGTCCTTGGAAGTAAATTTTAAACAATTATCTACACAAATAAGCAATAAAACGCCATTGTTTTCCAAAAATGAAATCAAAAAAGCAAAACACAATCAAACAGAGCCATACATAATAATACTTTTCCTTGTTTTATTTTGAAGAAACATAACAGAATTAAATGATAAAATTAGAACTTCTTAATTAGCTGTTTTTCCCTCCATTTTCTCAGCAAACAAACAGGGAACAACAATCAATGGAAAATCAAGTACAAAGAGCGAGAGAGAGAGAGACAGAGAAACCTGCTTGAGATCTTGTCGAGGAAAATTCGACATAGCAAAGAACTTGGCGTCGTTTCCCGTAATGCGCCCATCGCCGTCCAAATTAAATGTTCAATTTGTGAAAAAAACAATAAGAATTCACCCAAAAATATATGGATATGGAGACAAACCTTTGTCTACGTAATTGAACCATTGTTGATAGATGCTCTGTTGGTCTTTGGAGCACTTCGGAGAGGAATGAATCTGCATTCCTGATTCGTTTCAGGTTTTTTTCTTTTATAAAAATTTCGAATATATTGGAGATTGTTCTCTCTCTCTCTCCCTCGCGTTTTGTTGTTTTTCATTTTGTTTCGCCCTTTTGAGAGAGAGAGAGAGAGAGGGCATACAGTCGTCATCACTCGCTAAGTGATAGAGGCACGATTGAGACTGATTGCTCCTCACCGTCGTCACTCGCTGCTCACTCGCTACTAGCCGTCGTCATTCACCGTCGTCGCTCACTGCTAGCCGTCGTCGTCGTTCACCGTCGTTAAATTTTGGCTGAAGGGTTTGGGGATTTTGCTTCAAAAAGGTATGGGGATTTTGGTTCAGAAAGGTTTTGGGGGGTTTTGGGGAAAACTTGACCGCAAATGTGCTAAAATGAGCGGGATAGAAAAAATTTTATTACTTTTTGCGGCGGCATATTTAAATCTTTACAAATGATAAATCTTAATAGATAAAACAATGCCGTTTTAACAAGAGTTAGTTTGCGATGCCGTTTTAACAAGAGTTAGTTTGCGATGGACTTTGGCCGTCACAACTTGTCCACTATATGCGACAGTAAATGTTTCCCGTCTCAATTTTTTTTTTGGTGACAGTCACCAAGCGTCACAAATGTTTATGTATTTTTCTTGAATATTCAAAAGACCATTTTTGGCAATGGCACCTATACCGTCGCAAAAAGCTCCGTGTTATTTGGGCTATTTTCTTGTAATGTAGGCATGCCAATGCGGCCACAAAACCTCCAGAAGAAAGAGCTATGTAATTTGTTTTGTTTTGTCTTGTCTTCTATTCAGTTTTCCACTTAATTTAACTAAGTGAATAATAGTTAGAAAATTTTTTGTTAATTTTTTTGGTTTCTGCTTGCAGTTACACAAATCTTGGCTATCTTTGTTAAGATGTTCAATAAAACACATGACGAGAATTGCAGCAGGCAGATGCTGAAAAGAAGAAATTAGAAAAGGAAGCCATGAAAGAGCTCGCATCAGCCCAATCTGCGAATGATCGCTCAAAACCTAACTTCCGAATTTAGAAACATGCTCCTTGATCAGTCTGTACTAAAGTAGCAGGAAGCCTTATTGGCGGTGATGTGGAGGATAATATGTCAGTTGCCTCTCCCCCGATATTCATAATCACCAATTGTGCCAGTTATTCCATGTTACATGTGGTGTCGCTGTGGCTGACACTGCCTTCACTGCTGCTAAAATTTGTTTATGAAAATATGTGTATCCTCCGATTTGTATATTTACATGCTTGGTCCATCGGCATTTTCAGGGCCAATTAGCAGCCAGCTTCAAATATGCCTTCCCATCTCTATTTTATCAATTTTTATAGAACTACCTAATACGCAGAGGACACTCTAAATGTGATACAGAATGCCCAAATTGTCTACATTCAAGTTTCAAAATATACATGACAACTTCAGCAACAAGTGGTTATATCCATGGAAAAGAAATCTCTCTCTCTCTCTCTCTCTCTCTCTCTCTCTCTAAAAATATATATATATATATATGTGTGTGTATTTATACTAGAAAGGTGGCACTTTTGTGTGTGAGTTTCACTAAATTTTCTTAGAGAATTAAAGTTTCAAAATATACATGCAAGTTCAGCAACAAGTGGTTATATCCATGGAAAAGAAATCTCTCTCTCTCTCTCTCTCTCTCTCTCTCTCTCTATAAATATATATATATATATGTATATGTATGCTAGAAAGGTGGCACTTTTGTGTGTGAGCTTCACCAAATTTTGTTGGAGAATTATTTTGAAATGTGTGTTTCATTAAGTAGAAGAAATGTTAAATAAGAAAAAATATTATAGCCTAGTGGACGGAAGTTATATTCTAACTTCATTTAAAATGTAAGAGTTTGATTGTCATTAAATAAAAGTGAAGGGATTAAAGTAAATTTGTTTATAAAACTAGAAAAAACAATTAGAAAATGATTGAATTTTAGATATAGAGTGTAGATTTAATCTTCTTGTTGTGGGATCACTCCATGAATGCATTTCGGTCTTAGATTTTAAATTCTAGATAATTTTGTTTTGGGTATGTAGAGCTACTATTTCGTGAGAATGTAAGAGTGCTAAATGTAATGCAGACTACACTGAATTCTAATGACTAGAATAAAATTTAGTCATTTGCAAACGTCACTTGCGTTGTATTTGGATATTGAATTTTTAGGATGATTTGTAGAGTAAAAAAAGAGAAGGAAAGAGATTTGTGAAACAAATATAACTTTCGTTTCTTTTACTTTTTCTTTTTTTTCCAAATTTAAGATTAAAACAATACCATGCCCTAAGATTAAGAATTTTTTACAATCTAACTAACAAATTTGAATCATATTATACAATCAATTAAGTAAACAACACGCAGTACATAAAATTCATACAAACTTGTAACAAGCATAGAAGATACAAACCTCAAATTGTCTTTTAAATGTAGACCAGAGAATTCCACATGCAGCTAAGGATTTAAGATTGGCAATTAGGGCAATTAGTAATTGGCTGAATCGACATTGTGACTTTATTCCTCCCTTGTGATATCGAATTGGAAAAGTAATTTTGCAAGTCCTCATCGCAAGCTATTAAAATCCAGTCATTGTCCTCATCTTGATGCTTGGCATGGTAAGTTCCACCCTGTAGTTTCAGCCTCTTTGCCACTTGTTGTTGAAACTCTACTATTCCCGACGACACAGGGAGCTGAAGTTTAATAAAAATCATCTCCATATTTTGCCTTTATGGTCACAATACTTGCGTCTTGCACTGTTGTAAAATGTGGCTTTGTGCAAGAAGGAGTAGCCATGTCTTGCATATGAGGTGGATCAGAAATTGGAGGCTGACTAGATCCTAGGATTTGTTCCTGAACAACACCTTGGACAAGTTTATTGGAAAGCAATTGGTTATCCTTACTTCTCTTGTAAGGTGACCACCTGGTGATATTGTATTCCCTGCAAGCACGCTACACTGTAGATCGGCTAACTGCAAAATGAAATATCCAAATTCTAGATAAGAAAATATACTTTGTTTACTACTACCAAAAGTATATGAATTTTCCACAGGATCCAGCTAGGAACGGGTATCCTAAATGTGTAAGCTTACCGCCAAGGCTTTCTGCAGCATCTTCAAGTTTCATTCCAAAACGTTGCTGGAGATCCTCAAAGCTAATTGGAATTCCAGCTTTTCTTTGTAGCCTCTAGGACGAGTTAATTATGCAATTTTGCTGTACAGAAGTAACAACACTGTTGTTTTCTTCTGGGTTAGTAACAACATTGTTTCCAGTGTCTATAACATCCACTTTTGGTAATTGTTGATCAGATAAATCTAGAAACACCATCTTAAAAATCATCTCCATATTTTGCCTTTATGGTCACAATACTTGCGTCTTGCACTGTTGTAAAATGTGGCTTTGTGCAAGAAGGAGTAGCCATGTCTTGCATATGAGGTGGATCAGAAATTGGAGGCTGACTAGATCCTAGGATTTGTTCCTGAACAACACCTTGGACAAGTTTATTGGAAAGCAATTGGTTATCCTTACTTCTCTTGTAAGGTGACCACCTGGTGATATTGTATTCCCTGCAAGCACGCTACACTGTAGATCGGCTAACTGCAAAATGAAATATCCAAATTCTAGATAAGAAAATATACTTTGTTTACTACTACCAAAAGTATATGAATTTTCCACAGGATCCAGCTAGGAACGGGTATCCTAAATGTGTAAGCTTACCGCCAAGGCTTTCTGCAGCATCTTCAAGTTTCATTCCAAAACGTTGCTGGAGATCCTCAAAGCTAATTGGAATTCCAGCTTTTCTTTGTAGCCTTTGGGACGAGTTAATTATGCAATTTTGCTGTACAGAAGTAACAGCACTGTTGTTATCTTCTGTGTTACTAACAAAATTGTTTCCAGTTTCTATAGCATCCACTTCTGGTAATTGTTGATCGGACAAATCTAGAAACACCATCTTTTCTCCATTCTCCATTCTATTTGGAGATCTTGCAGTTTGGGGTTGTTTAAAAGAATCAAGTTTTCCGTCCTTCTCCAAGCTAATTGGAATTCCATCTTTTCTTTATAGCCTCTGGGACGAGTTAATTATGAGTTTTTGCTGTGAGGAAGTAAAAACAATGTTGTTTTCTTCTGTGTTACTAACAACATTGTTTCCAGTGTCTATAGCATCCACTTTGGGCAATTGTTGATCGGATAAATCTAGAAACATCGTCTCTTCTCCATTCTCCATCTTATTTTGAGATCTTGCAGTTTGGGGTATTTGATAAGAATAAAGTTTACCGTCCTTTGAAAAATCAAGAACTTCAACAGATAACTCTTCTCCTGCTTCTCCAGAAGTGACCTTAAAACTTTTACAATGCTGCTTCATTGTTGTCAATAACGAAACCAAAGCAATCCTCGAATCCCTACCTTCAATGTAGTTTGGGGGCAAAAAGAATTCTAGCACGTAAACATTGTCTTCAATATAACTACTTCGCAAGCAAATTGCAAAAGAACCTGTAAGTCCAACTTTGTGTGCGTAGTGTGCGAAAGGGTACTCAGTTATGCTAAATTGAGTAACATCTTTGCAGAATACCAAATTTTGGGACGAAATTGCTCTCCCAACAACCCCCTGCCCTTTTCGTAGGTGCTGTAAAGCATATGCAGCTAAAAAATCACCCATACGTCCCTCTCTATGACAGGTTCTATATTTTCTGAACACTGCATTGCAAAGCCTACATAAGGACCAAGTCTGAGCCAAAGTTAGATAATGAGTGCTATACACCACGTCTAGCATTTTCCTGATTTCTTCAAGAGTTTCATCCTTGGCCTGATAATAATTCACAAATACATATTTGTTAGCCCAGAGTTGTTACAATAGCTAATGAACAAAACAATACAAGATTTGACATTTGAATTACAGTTTTCTACTTACTTTCTCATAATACAAATGTTCACATTTTGATCTTGTTAAACCTTGAATCTGCAGGGGACTGAAATGAGATTTAAACTGAAAGACATTTGCAAGAATAAAATAGTATCACTTATAAGTTAACTTTTATGACTATAGCCTTTTACATTATTAGCTAAAAGTAAGTAAAATAAATTATAAATTTATTTGGTACAACTTTTGATAATTTGTGCAAAAAAATTGAATCTGTTTGATTAAATAAACTGCCACATAACTTTTTTTCTAATAATTAAGACAAAAGAAATGAGACTCTTCTAGCCAGACTTATTGAAGGGTTTTTGTTAAAAAGAGCTATAAATTATGAAGAATTTTTTTTTCTTTTTTGGGGTCAAATAAACTGAATAAATCAAAAAAGTTATAATTTAAAATTACAATTAAACATTATTAGTCAACCTTTTTTAAGTAAATAAGCTGATTTATAAATAATAATACCAAAACATTGTATATACAATAAATGAAAAAATTAGCACAGTTGAGGCTATTAACCCGACCAACTTAGGTTGCACCAAGGTATTGTATAATTGTCTAAGATCAGCTTCGTTGTTTTGGACAGGTGGACTTTACCCTGGCATGGAGTATTTCAATTGGTCCAACACTTTGAGCAAAAATCTGTATTGCCTAGTAAATGGGGCTACTATAAACAATTAGGTAAATTCTACTCACCTCCCTTGAGAGGTGAAAAAATAAAATAGTAATTCTTATATTTTTGTTATAATTACATCAATTTTCCTTACATTAATGATAACGTTAATTGACCTAACAAGAAGACATTTTTTGTTTGCACTTGCGTATCATAATGAAATTATCAATTTTTCACACGAGAGATCAGTATAATTTACCCAAATGATTAATGTCAATGATATGATATCAAAATAAAGAGCACAATACTTACACAAGAATTGTTGTCAAACTCTATGTTAAATGATTTACACAATGAAATTAATGAATGGGTAAGATTAACGAACCATTAAAAAGATTGGCCAGTAAAATGGAACCAACTAGTAAAATAATTTGAGGATTGGCCAGTAAAATGGAACCGACTAGTAAAATAATTTGAGCTCCATCAACAAAAGAAATAAGAAAAAGAAAAAGAAACCATAAACCATCATTGAAAATGAAAATTAACAATCATTGGATAGGCATAATCAAGGTTTTGAAAAGCAGTGGCGGTGGCGGTGGCGGTGGCGCGGTTGCGGTTGCGGAGTGTAAAGGCTGTAGCATAACGGTTGCGGTAACCGGAACCGTGAATTTTTTTATTTTTCGCACAATTTGAAAAAAATTTACCGATTTGCATATTTTTTTTCCATAATCATATTTATTGGATTTAAAATAAATATTGATCAATTTTTGTAAAATTTTTAAGTATGATCTAATATATTTCATATTTTTAAATCACTATAAATTGAGTTTTTTACATTTTATTTTAATAATTAATGACTTTATATTATACAAAAAAATCAATCACTAACTATTATATATAAGATAAACAATGACAAAAGTAAGAGAATAAATAAGAGCCTAAATATATATGTACACATTTTAACCAAGCCAAATAGATAATGACTGTACTTATTATTATTATTATTATTATTATTATTATTATTATTATTATTATTATCAAGCAATATAGATAGACACACACAAACAAAATGGTTGAGTGATAGCAGCTGAATAGAATAACATAAGTCTTATAGTTTCAACAAACCAATAGCATGTTCTTCATCTTTTCTCTTTTCTCTCTCTATCTCTTGTTCCTCCATCTTCCCTCTTCATCTTCCCTCTTTTCTCTCTATCTCTTTTCCCCTATTTTCATTTTTTCGAAAGAAGCAGTTCGGAACCGTTATGTAACGGTGTGTAACAGGCCGTTACAGCTGTTACAACCGTTACAGCACTGTTACGACCGCTACGGCGGCCGCTACGGCCGACACACCTGTGAATCTCAATCACACTGCAAAAGCGGCCGTAACGGGTGGCGGTAACCACCACAATTGTTACGTAACGGCGTTACATAACGGTTGCGGCCGCTTTTTAAAACCTTAGGCATAACAAATAAATAAACAAAAGTAAAGAAGAGAACGTAAAAATGGGATTGATTATTCCAATTTGGGAGTTAGGGGACAAACCTCGAAATAAAGGAAAGTCCCCAAATATACATTTATTATATCAGTTGTCGACACCATCTCAAATACACCAATGTAGCGCTGCCTCAAAGGGTCAAACAATGGTACAGCCAGAGATTGCTCAATATTGCAAATGATAGCACGATCGCGCTGTGGATACTCTTTGCAGGAGTAATACTGCACATTTGGAGTAGACTCTCACTGTTGATGCCGAAACACACAGCCATGGAGGCCAAGATGTTCGTCACTCACTCAATCGACATCAAATTCATAATCCAAAGATATCAACCTATACTGACAAAGTCCTTCATCAATCTTGTTAAACCAAAAGGTTGGTGTCGAGTAGTAAGTAAACGCTTGCCCCCAATTTTTATGACTTTCCAAAACTGTATAAAAAATTGGGTACGGTGCCAGCAAAATACTATGTCTTTAAAGTAGGATTTTATCTTCTCCAATCAGGGTTCCATCGATTATCTCTGTACAATTTTGCAAATTTCCAAGCCCCCCCTCCCATCCAAAAAAAAAAAAAAAATACAAGGCAAAGTAAGAATAAGGTAACCAACAAGAAAAGAAAGTAGGTAACTATCTACTAATCTAATCTAAATCTTAATATATAATTTTTTTTTTAACATACTGTTTGCACCATAAATATTTTTCTGTCTATTAATCTTATTGATTTTGGCTTATCGATTGTGGCCAAATATAATTTTATTAATTGTGTCCTGTCAATTGTGGCATGCCAATCATGGCCAAATCTAATCTCATTGATTGTGGCTAATTGATTTTGGTCTATCGATTCAGACCATAAATCATCTTTAAAGACCTACTATGACCACATTATTATTATTCTTATTATTTGTTTTGTTATGGTTCACAAGTGATGAAATGGGCTTAGAAAATGGGGGCAAGTTGGCAACGTATGGTAGTTTGTAGCACTTTGTAAGGAATGTGGCTTGATTTTGTTTCATGAAGTGGCCAAACTGCCTCCAACAGTTATACTTCGAATAGGAAACTGTCAATTGTTAATCTACAAATAGGTTGAAGACAGATTGGAGAAGGGATGAACAAATCGTCAAACTTATCATAGTTTTTTTTCCTTTATCTTTAGGAGTAGTCTACCTTAATTCTTAGAAGTAGATTATCTTAATAGTTTTCTCTGTAATTTGTGACTTGTAATTCTTGTAAACTTAGATAATTTCATCTGGAGTTTTTTTTGTTTATTTGGATACTTCACTCTTTCGATTGTTAATTGTTGCAAATAAGTTCATGTACTTTCAAAGCATTTAGAACCTTTACACAGTCGTTTGATTGTCTGTTTGGTTGTTTGGTTAAAATTGTTGTTAAGTCTTTATCGATCAATCCTTAGCATAATTTTTTACTAACAATTTTTGGCACGTCCAGTGGGACATCTTCCTAATTTGGAATGACGACAAGAATTCGAAAGCAAGATGAAGTATAAAAAGATCTATCTCGTAAAACACAATCACATGATGTTCCAATAAGTAAATTTCCAAGGAATGACGTCTCGAGAAAAATAGATGAAATTATTTGGTTTTGTGAAGATGAAATGTGTTGGCTTGAGAATGAAATTTTATATTTACAAGAAAAAATTGATTATCTTGATTGGCAAAAATTTCAAACAAGCATAATTTTTTACTAACAATTTTTGGCACGTCCAGTGGGACATCTTCCTAATTTGGAATGATGACAAGAATTCGAAAGCAAGATGAAGTACAAAAAGATCTATCTCGTAAAACACAATCACATGATGTTCCAATAAATAAATTTCCAAGGAATGACGTCTTGAGAAAAATAGATGAAATTATTTGGTTTTGTGAAGATGAAATGTGTTGGCTTGAGAATGAAATTTTATATTTACAAGAAAAAATTGATTATCTTGATTGGCAAAAATTTCAAACAATAGCGCCATTGTCATATTATTTGAGGTTGGCAACACAAAATCATTTTCATAAAGTGATTGGTCAACTTGATAATCAAATTGACCAATTTGAGATTGAAATTCATCAACAGACGGAAATATTGAAAATTCTTACAGAAGTCAAAATTTGTGGCTTTTCAATTGTTCTTTCCACGCCTTTAAAGGTTGTGAATGATGAAAAAGTTAATTCATCAATTGTAATGGGTGAAAAAACAAAAGGCCATGAGAATAAAAATTCGATGGCAGAGGGGCAATTTTACAAGGAAGAAATATTTTTTGGGTTTTCAAAAAATATTTATGACACATTAATGTGTCAAAGAAAAAATCAGCCTTTTCTTGCAACTCTTAGTCTAGAGAGTGATGTAAACAATTTGGTTAAAAAGTGTGATCTTAAACCAAATATGACTGAAAATGATGAACAACTATATGTTCATGAATTTAAAATTTTTGGCATTGTTCAAGATGTCAACATGCATGAATTTTTAAGGTCATTTATGGTTTTTGTTATTCAAAATCTTTTTTGGATTTGTGGATCACATCAAAGCTTGTTTTTTTATGAAATGGCTAACAAGAGAACACAGTCCAAAAAGTTATAGAAATATATTGCAAATTGTGATTTCTTGATTGGCTATTTTCTAACTGTTCGAAAATAAAACAAATTAAAATTCCAAATGATTTTTTTTAATGTTTAGAGTGTCTACCAGTGCCAACATTGGAAGATTATTTTGCTCCAAATAATAGGCCAACTCTTGGTTTCACACTTGGTTTATGCATTGCTCTGTGGAT